ATTAATGTTCCATTCGGCAAATACACCAATAGCAAACGAGGTAACGAGATATTGCGTAAATATTTTCATATTCGTCATATTTATCGGTCGAGCTTATTAAGATACACGTATTACACATGTTTGTTTCATAACGAGTTTGTAACGAAATTTGTTAGATTGCGATATAGAGCGGGAGTTCAGGATTTTTATCTTGGGACTAGTCGTAAATGTAATAGAACCTGTGTAATTTTTAACTCGTGGAAAATTTGAACTCTAATAACCTGTCATGTAGACACTATTGATCCGCACACGTTTAATTTAAGTTTTTTAATTTTTGCTACGCTTTCACGTATGTTCTCGTTTACATTCTTACATCGAGTTTTCAACTATCAGAAACACAAGTTATTATCAGCAATGTATACATGAAATATGCTGCTTGCTCGTACAATCATGAAACGAGTTTTTAGCAAAAAATGAAGAGAATTTTCCTGATTATTTGTTCTTATGTAAGTTTTTAAATTACAATAGATTTTAGTAATATTAAATTTGGAGGTTCCTTAAATCTTTAGTTTAGAGTTTATTTCAATGACGCTTAACTTTGTTGTAGGATCAGATGTTGGATATAGAAATGGCCTTGAAGCAGATTTTATGTCCTTTTTACATACCACGTGAAAGCTGCGTCCAGATGTTCGGACCTCTTCCCAACGATGAAAGTTTCTCTAAACTTTAGAATGGTCCAGCAACAAGGTCGTACTCGAAGGCTCTTTTTCTTTGGGTTTATGTATTTCCTTTGTTAATTTACAGGATTATGTTGCTAACCTCCCAGTTATCAAAGTAAGTCTAGCTGTGCTGATCCTACTTCTCAGTCCAGGTACAACGATCCTCTTGGCTGTATTATACTACATAGTTCTACGAATTGTTTAGAAAACGATAAAGAAATGAAATTGACAATTAGATATGAAAGAATATCCGCAAGCTATACTTGGCTCGATTTCTAAGAACGTAATGAATGACTCTGCTCTGCAGTAGAAATGTCGAGTTGTAAGCAAGTTCAGAGCTGATAAATGATAAAAAGAAATGATACAAACTATGATAAACAATGATAATTTTCTAAATTAATTCTTATGAGTCATTGAATTTTTGATTCTTAGATTATGAATTCTCAAAAGTTTCTCGAACGTATGATACTCTTGCAACGTGCGGTCACATCTACGAATTCTAGTCATTAGCAATAAGCTAACACAAACTCCGTTACTTCTACGAAACTATTTCAAACGAAACGACTTTACGCTACTATTTTTGCGGAAAAGAAAACCTAACCTAAATCTAATTTAAACCTTGTATATATATATATATATAT